TTTCTTTCTTTCTTTCTTTCTTTCTTTCTTTCTTTCTTTCGTCTTTCTTTCTTTCCGTCTTTCTTTTTCTTTCTCCTTCCTCTCTCTCTCTCTCTGTCTCTCTGTCTCTCTCTCTCTCTCTCTCTCTCTCTCTCTCTCTCTCTCTCCTTTCTCTCTTTTTTTTCTATTTTGAGACAGGGTCTCCTGTAGCCCAAACTGGCCTCAAACTCCTGATCTTCCTGTCTCAGTCTCCCAAGTGCTGGGATTACAGGTGTTTACTTCCAGGTCCAGTTTAAGAAACTCACTTTAGGGCTGGCAAGATGGTTCGACAGGTAAAGACAGGTGCCCCCAAGCTAAGAGAAAGAGTGGGTGAGGGAAAGGGAGAGGGAGAGGGAGGAGTGGATCTAAATACCATCAAACTGTATTGTATGAAAATCACAAAAATTTAATTAAAAATCCAAAAAGGGAATAATTTTTAAAAGTACACAACAGAAATCTTTGTTGTTTTTTCTTTTTCTTATTGGCTTTGTTATATACCTTTGTGTGTATATATGATGTATATGCAGGTTCCTGTGTGTTCGTGTAGGTATGATGTGTGTGTATATTCGTGTGTCTGTGCAGCACATGTGTGGAGGTCAGAGGACAACCTTAGGTGTGGACTTTCACCTTCCACCTTGTTTGAGACAGGATCTCTTTGTGGTTGAGCACTGTACATGCCAGGATAGCTGGCCCATGAATTTCCAGGAATTCTCTCTTCGTTGCCTCCTGACTGTATCAGGATTGCAGACTCTCCTATGCCTGGCTTTGTGTGGGTTCTTTATGTTGATTTGAATTCAGATTCTTATGCTTGCTGTAAGCTCTTTCCCAGTTGAGCCATCTCTACTGCCCAGGGTTTTTCCCCCAGTGCTGGCAACTAACTTAGGGCTTCACACGTGCTAGACAAGCACTCAACCCCTGAGCTATATTCACAGCCTTTGTTTTGTTTTTAGGCAGGGTCTGTCTTTCTACCCCAGGATGCCTTGAACTCAAGATCCTCTTGCCTCAGTCTCCCAAGCGCTAGGATTATAATCATGCCACTGTGCCCAGCTGATGGAAAACTGACTAGCACAAGAAGATAGATTCATTGTTATGAAGATGTCAATTCTTTTAAGACTGATCTACAGATTCACAACAATCCCAATCAAAATAAATTTGAAGATACCAACAAACTGAGTCTAAATTTTATATCAAGAAGCAAAAACTATATCTAGACTAGCTAACACAGTATTAAAAAAGAACAAATGGGGGAGAAAAAGGGGGGAGAACAAATGAATAGCTTAGTGAAATAGAATAGAGCCCAGAAAGAAATATACATAAATACAGTCAACTTGGAAACCTATTAATTCTGTTCAATTAATATATGCCAATGAAAATGTCTAAAAATAGGAGAGATGGCTCAGTGGTTAAGAGCGCTGGCTGTTCTTGCAGAAGACCTGGGTTTGAATCCCAGCACCTATATGGTGGCTAACAACAATCCATAGCTCTAGTTCCAGGGGATCTGAAGCCCTTTTCTGACCTCCATGGGTGTTGCACGATACAGGTGCACTTACATACATGTAGGAAATACACAAATATACATAAAATAAAAAGAATTTAAAAAGTAATAAAAAAGAGAGAATGTCTAAAAATGAAAAAGGATTGTTAGGCATGGTGGTGCATACCTGTACTGTCAGCATTCAGGAGACTGATGCAGGATTGCTGTGAAGTTAAGGCCAGCCTCAGCCAAGCAAAAAGAAAAAAAAATTTTTTTAAACTGAGAAAGGCAAAGAGGAAAAGAAGGGAAAGGACAAGAAAGATAAAGGAAAGGGAAGAAATGAACTAGTAACTCCAGGCAATGGACTGTTATTCAGTCCTGAAAGGAAATAAGTTAGGGCTAGAGAGGATGCTTAGTTAGTAAAGTGCTTGTACAAGGACCTGAGTTAACCCCCAGAACGCATGTATAAAAAGCTAGCTGTGGGAGCTGAAGAGATGGCTCAGCGGTTAAGAGCACTGACTGCTCTTGCAGAGGACCTGGGTTTGATTCCCAGTACCCTCATGGCGGCTAACAACTGTCCGTGGCTAACTGTCCAAGGCTCCAGTTCCAGGGGATCTGAAGTCCTCTTCTGACCTCCACGGGTGTTGCACGACATGGATGCACTTACCTACATGTAGGCAATACACTCATATACATAAAATATTAAAAAAGAAAAGCTGGGTGTGGTAATGTGTGCTTATAATCCCAGTACTGAGGAGGCAGAGACAGGAAGATTTCTGGTGCTCACTGACCAGCCAGCCTACCTCACTGGGTGCATTCTAGGCCAGTGAGAGACCCTGTCTCAAACAAAGGTAGGTAGTACCTGAGGAACAACATCAAAGGTTGTCCCTTGGTCTCTACATACACTCACATGTATGTGCAACCAGTTCTCTCCTTCTACCACAGGGGTCTTGGGGATCAAATTTAGGTCATCAGGCTTGGTGGCAGGTGCCTTTACCTGCTGACCCCTAAATAGCGTTTTGATATTATAGTTCATCGTGTATATTTCTTCTACACTATCGTACATTTTCAAAGGTCAGGGAACATGTTTTATTCAGTGCCTAGCACTGTGATGAAGCTCAATGAACATTTGTTCTTTCTTTGATTTGCTTTGTTTAGATGGTTGTGATTAAAAGGAGCAATCTATGCACTCAACATAAACAAAGTTTCCAAGGCCAGTATCACATCAAGGAGAGTGGTATTCAGGTGAGAATGAAAGTTGCTGTGGTTTCAGTTCTGTGCCCTCGTTATTTGGACTTGGCTCAATGGTGTTTTACTAATAACAGGATAGAAAACAGTATAGCACTCACATACATTTTCCCTGTTCTTCCTGGGATGAATAAGACATTTACAAATTAAAGGCTTGGTATTACACTATAAAAGTATATATCTAGCAAGCAGAGAGGGAAATATATAGTCATTTATCAGTAGATATTAGTTGAATGAATGGAGGAACTGTCTGAGCTACAGTCAGTTTACCACCCCTAAGAAATCATCAAAGAAAAATGGAGGAAAAACTAATAAGTATGTAGTACAGAATATTCTAAGACCTTTATAAGTCTTTCTTCTGGATTTATGTGGCAGCTGCCATATGCAGAAAAAGATCATGCCTCTGGGGTACAGACATCTCCACCTGTCTCTAACCAAAGCCAGCCTCTTCTTGGAAGACCACAGTTTTCAAAGAAGATTCATGTCCTAATTTTATCCCAAGAGCAGTACAAGGACTTGTAGTGAATAATAGACCCTTTCCAACCAACTAAAGGAATAAAGGACCAAGAAAGTTGTAAACAAGATATAGATAAGATAAAGCAGATAAAATAAACTAGTAAGTTAAGGGAAGGTCTCCAGGGAAGAACAGAAAGCTGGATTAATTTTTTAGTTACCTGCTACAGATAGAAACTTCCATCACTCCCGGCTAGTAATTTGCTTCTCCTTCCCTACCTCTCCCCTCCTGAATATTTCATCGAAGTATAATTCCCTAGCCTGTAATTGGAGATTGTAGCCTATCGATACAAAGAAATATGTCCCTCCAACACTGAAAAAAAATGATACTGTTTCCTTAGCTACTAAGAATCCAGAGAAGGCAAGACTGGGATTGGAGTGTTAATTCTGCTCTGGGCCCTTTGACAAAATGATTTTACTTATTACTGATCCCCTCTAACATTGTTTCTTTAATTCATTTAACAGATACTTTCTGAAAACTTACTGTTATCAAGCATTGCTCAGTATGCTAAGGATTCAGCAATGAAAAGAAGGGAGCCCCATTCTGATGAGCTCAGGTTCAAGAATTATCAAGTATACAATCCCAGAAAAGATAAAACAATTGATAAAGACAAATTGGGGAGGGGGTCCTACACAGAGAGTGGCCAGGGAAGGTCTCCCTGAGGCAGTGGCATCCAAGTCACGATAGGATTATCTCAGAAAGAGCCTCCCAAAGTATAAGCCAGGGAAAGAGGGACCAGTAAGCCCTGGCGAGGGACGGTGTTTGGGGCTGGCTGGTAATCTAGGGAAATGATGTTGGACATGCAGTTAGGTACCAAGTCAATGATTTAGATACAGTATGCCAAGCAATTCTGGTTGTTCCTGCTTGATGCTTCAGGTGGAGAGGCCAAGAGCTCTCTCACCCCACCCAACAGAGAAGGGGTGAGGGGGAGAACTTGAACAAACGCAGCCTTTAATTTGTATATACTAGCTTTTTGCTTATGGTTTGGTCTGAAGACCATGTTTTGGTATCAAAAATCTTTGATCTTGAAAATCCTTTTCTGTGTTTTTAATTGACTTCTTGGAAAAGTTAGTATGTAACCTCTATAACTGATACTACTGTGCTTGATTACAGAACAAGGGAGTGCAGACTCCAGCAACCTGACTCTGGCTTTGCTGGAACCTTCCATTCCCTCTAGTGCCCTCCAGGCCTGTGTCAGTAGGACTCCTGACTCTGCCTCTCCCTAGTAGATAGTCCTTGCCTTAGGCTGTTGCTCTCTGAATGAGACACTTTCTGTCTGTCCCACACAGAGTTTTGTACAGATACTGAGGGAAGGACTCTATAGTTTTCTCCAACCTGTAAAATTCAAAGCTGGTCAGCTGCCTCACTCCCTTACCCCCAAACTCTGCCTTTCTTTATTTCCAGAGTCAGCCTGGCAGCTCTTAAAGTCATCGCCACTGTCCCAGGGTTTTGGGAAAAGCACTGCAGTGAATAGAAATCATTTTCTGATAACACAAATGTAATTAGCCCTTCGACGAGAGGATGCAGAGGCCAAGCAGGATTGAAAGAATCCACTTTTCACATATTTCAAGACCAGTGAGGAAACAGACGCGGAAACAGAGAAGCAGGGTTAAAGAAAAAAGGCCCTGTGGAGCACTGGCAGAAGCGGGCGAGGAAAACAGAATGGGGGTTGGGGTAGCAAATGACTAAATGCCAACTTCACGTCTGCTCCCAGGTTCCCTTCTCCTACCTCCGGACAGAACTTACTTGAAGGTGGATCATTTCTCCGTCTGACTCCATCTTGCTGCCCTCTGGCCACGTCCCACCCACCGAGGGCCAGGAGCACACTGCGTGGGCTCCTCTGCTTAGCAGTCTGTGTCTATTCCTGCGGTGGGAGAGCGTGCAGCTGCAGGACAGACCTGCTATTCATTTGGCTACTGCGAGATGATGCTCGACTTGGCCTCAGCCCCTGGGGGAGGCACATACGTGTGCCAGTGTCTGGCCTGCATGCAGCACATGGATGGGTGGCCTTTTGAGTTACCCCTCCAAGTCCCGGCAGAGCCATCTAAGGTTACCTCGCTGCCTTGAGTCAGTAGCTTTATAATGGAGAAGGAAATTCTGCAGATTTATAAAGGGAATTGGAGTACTTCCCACTAGTGGTACAGAGTAGGGTCCCCAGCCACCAAGGGTTGGGGGAGGGGTGCTTCTGCATAGTCCCAAGACTGTATTTTAGGCATTTCTCCCTTCCTCTCCTTTGTTCCCTCTATTCCTAAAAGTGGGGGAAGTTGGGCACCAGCTCACCCAAGAGGTTCCAAAACTACAAGTTGTGTTTTCATTGACAGATTGATACCATGTCTTCAAGCTCTCTTGATCTGAGACAGAGACAAAGGTGTGAGAGAGCAGGGAAAGTTGTACCTTCAAATCCCTTTAATGAAACTAGTTGCATATCCACACCCTACCCTGTCTGAAAGAAAGCTACAGGAGTGAGCCTTTTGGGGGAAACTTTATTTTTCCTGTTTACCTTAGAACCTAAAAACATTTCTTTCTTCTTCCTAAGACTCAATTTAGACCCAAGCTGGGCTGGAGGTAGGAGTGTCTGTGAATGTGCTGGATAAAGGCTGTCAGGGATTATTTCCATTCTGGGTATAGGGAGGTGGAGGTGGGCAGAGTCATTTATTTATTCTCCCCACACTGAAATGTGTAGAGGGGTGGGGAGAGAAAGAGAGAGAGAAGAGAGGGAGGGGGAGAGAGGGAGAAAGAGAGAGAGGGGGAAGGAGGGGGGAGAGGGGGGCAGGGAAAGAGAGGAAGAGGGGGTAAAGGGGGGAGGGAGAGAGAAAGAGGGAGAGAGAGGAAGGGGGAGAGAGAGAAAGAGAAAGAGAATGAATTTCTTTGTATCTCTTACATGTCTTTCTAAGTCCCACACTGCTGGACAGTATGTGAGCAGGTTAGATGATGGATGCTTTAGTATTGTAGTCTAATCTATTAAGCAGAAGCAGGCTTGGCTCCAATGTCTAAAAGTTCAGCCAGCTAGACTAGACTTCAGAGTCCCATCTTCCTTTTCTGATGGAATTTAGGCACATGGGAGGTTGTGGGGGTTGCTGTTCTTGGATGACTCCTGTGGCCTCTCCGCTTAGTTTCTACTAAGGATCTGGTGTGGGAGGCAGCACTTTCCCTGAGTCACTGACTGCTGAGGAGAGGCTGGTCCTGCTCTATGACCCCTGTGGCATTGGTGGCTGCTGCTTGTGGTGGTGACGGCTCATGGTCCATTCCTTTTCTGCCTTCAAGGATCATCTTTCTTGACTGTTCCATGTTGACTCTCATGATGTGGACCATGCTGTGACCTGACTAGGACTTTTATGTCTCCAAGAGGTCCACTCTGCTAAGATGACCGGGCACTCAGAATCCTGATCTGCTGATCCTGGGCCCACAGGAACTGAGAACAGCTGAGGAAGAAGTGGAGCGAAGGCAAGCCCAGCACCATTGCTAGCAAACAATTGACTGTGATATGGTTGTGCCAAGTTAGTAGAGGTCAGGCACCCTTTGAGTTAATCTCCTTCCAGACTCCCAAATGGGGAGTTAAGACCTAAAACCCACTCCTTTTTAGCATTCTTGCAGAAATCTACCATTATGTTAGTTACTTTACTTGTCAACAGCAATAAGATGGCTCAGACTTTGAGGGGTTACAGTTGTCATCACAGGACAGCTACTAGCAGGAGTATAGGCAACAAGTAACATTGTGTCCACAGCAAAGACTGCTGAATGCTGGTGCTCAACTCATTCTCTCATATTCAGTCTTGGACTCCTGTCCATGGGATGGTGCTGCCCACATTCAAAATAGGTCTTCCTCTCCTCAGTTAAACTTCTCTAAAAACAGCCTCACAAATATACCCAAAGATGTGTCTTCTAGCTGATTCTAAATCTTGTCAAGTTGACAAGATTAACCATCACACCCTTCCCCCTATAATTCTATTTGTGTCAGTCAGCTTTCTGTCACTGTGTCAACATACCTGGGAAAATCAACCTTTGGCTCATGGGTTCAGAGATTTCAGTCCATGGTTGGCAGGCCTGGCTGCTTTGAGCCTGTAGCAGCTCCCTACATTATGAAGAAGTGAGTTACACTGGAGCATGGTGGCACACATCTTTAATCCCAGCACCCTGGAGGCAGAGGCAGGAGGATCTCTGTGAGTTCAAGGCCAGCCTGGTCTATGTAGTGAGTTCAAGCCAGCTGGGGCTACAGGGAGACCCTGTCTCAAAAAGACCAAAAAAAATTTTGTTTTTTAAAGTGTGTTATAAAGGAAGTCTGTTTACCTCAGGGCAGCCAGGCACAAAAGGGAAAAAGGGAAGAGAAGGGGAAGGGTCCTAATATCTTTCCAGGGCAAGCCCCACAATGACCTCACTTCCTCCCACTGGCCCCCACCTCCATGACCTCCCAGCACCATACCCTGATGACCAACCACTCAACACGTGGGCCTTTAGGGAACATTTTACTACCTATGTGATAAGTACTACTCTAAGCCTTTGGCTTATACTGTTCATTTTTTTTTTTTTTTTAATAACAACTCTGGGAAGTAGAGCCCATTATTATCACTGATTTACAGGGGAAAAAACGGAAGCACAAGAAACCACATACCTCTTCAAGGTTGGCCCAAGCATCAAACCGTAGAAATCTGGACTCTGAGTATATGCAATTTTGATTTGAAGAGGAGAGACAACCACATTTCCCAATGCCTGCTTTCCCTCCTCTGTTTTTTTTCTTCCTTTTGCCATAATCTAGGATGAAAAAGGGAGGCTTCATCCTTTTTCTCTTTCTCTTTGGCTCAGATGTACCTTATGTGTAATTCTAGGATAATAATTCAAACAGAAATAAAAAAGAAAATCAAAACCAAACTATCAAAAATATTGTCTTGGGGATTGGAGAGATGGCTCAGTGGTTAAGAGCACTGGTTACTCTTCCAGAGGACCCAGGTTTTGTTCCCAGCAACTACATGGTGGCTAACAACCATCTGTAACTCCAGTTCCAGGGGTTCCGACGCCCTCTTCTGGCCTCTGAGGGCATTGCATGACATGCGTGCACTTACATGCACACAAAATAATCGTGCACATAAAAATTTTAGTTAAAAAAAATATTGTCTTGGGTCAGCAAGATGACTCAGAGGATAAAGTCACCTGCCACCAAGCCTGACAAGCTGAGTTAAATCCCCTAGATCCACAAAGTAGAAGGAGTGAAGCAACTCCCATAAGTGGTCCTCTAATCTCTATACACATGCTGTGGTATGAGTGCACACATGCACACGTATGTACACACAAACTATAACAAAAGTTTAAAACCTTGTCTTGCTGGAAGATTTTATTTGGGAGGTCAGAAGCAAATCATTAACCATTTCCTTTCTCTTTGCATCCCTATTGTGATAATTTCCATTATCTTTTAAATATAGAGGCATCTGGCTGGATAAAGGGAAAACCAGAAGAAGAAAATACAGACAAGAAAAGCACCTGAATGTATTTCCAAAGAAATTTCCCCAGGGATGAGCACATTGGCCTTAGGAGGAAACAGCTGTGATTGGTTATGATCATGGTCTGGTTCCAAGATCTTTCTAGATTTAAACTGTTTCCTATCTCATAAGGTAAACAAGAAGCAGAATTTGGAAAGTGTTTTATCTCCTCTGTCACACTGTGACTCTAGACAAAGGGTCATCACATTTTTCTGTAAGGGGTCAGAGAACAAATATTTTTGGGCCTTTGTGGATCATATGTTTTGTGCTACAATTACTGAGCTCTGCTATTACAGTGTAAAAGTAGTCAGAATGTGATTGAGTGTAGCAGTATTCTAATAAAACTTTATTAACAAAAACAGATTGGCAGAAACTATTAAAAAAACAAAACAAAACAGGTGTGATTTTCATGGAGTGACAACTGCTGAGCCCCTGTGAGTGCACACTGTGTTAAACCCTCTGGGGATATCATACTACAAATGCATGTAGTGAGATAAAGCACAGTGAGTGCCCCTGTCATAAATGTTGTTTCTGACATTTGCCTGTAGCACTGAACCTGCCCTTGTGTGGAGGCTGTTCAGTCTTGATGGGGAAGATTTCTGTCTTTACCATTAGGGTGATTTTTGTAGTGTGAAGTTTAAGGAAAATTTTAAGGGAAACTCTCTTGGGGAAGTTTTTTGTTTTGTTTTTGTCTTTTTGAGACAGGGTCTCCCTGTAGCCACAGCTGACCTGGAACTTGCTACGTAGACCAGGTTGGGCTCAATCTCACAGAGGTCCACCTGCCTCTGCCTCCCAAGCCCTGGGATTAAAGGTATGCACTACCATGCCTGCTTGGAAGATTTTTATTATTTATTTATTTATTTGGTCTTTTTGAGACAGGGTCTCCTGTAGCCCCAGCTGGCCTGGAACTCACTATGTAGGCCAGGCTGGCCTCGAACTCACAGAGATCTTCCTGCCTCTGCCTCCCCAGTGCTGGGACTAAAGGTGTTTGCCACCACACCTGGCTGGAAGATTTTTTAAACAATGATTTATTTTGGGGCCAGGCATGGTGATGCACACCTTTAATCCCAGCACTCAGGAGGCAGAGGCAGGTGGATCTCTGTGAGTTCGAGGCCAGCCTAGTCTACATAGTGAGTTCCAGGACAGCTGGAGCTACGGAGAGACCCTGTCTCAAAAAGACCAAAAAAAAATTATTTTTATTTTATGTATATGAATGTCTTACCTGTGTGTATGTAAATATATACTTGTATGCTGCCCATGGGGGCCAGAAGAGGACATCAGATCACCTGGAACTGGAGTTAAGAATGGTTGGTAGCCATCATGTGGGTGCTGGGAACTGAACCTGGGTCCTCTGCAAGAGCGGCCAGTGCTCTTAACTACTGAGCCATCTCTCCACCCCCCAGGGAGATTCATTTTTAAGAACACACTTGAACT